ACACACCAACAAAAATGTGGTATGCGCCAGGTTAGAGAGCTTTTGAATTCAAAATCTATTAGACTTTCTATTAGTGATAAAGGTGGAGAATTTGTAGTTCTTCCTAGTCAGTTGGATATTAGGATAACAGAGGAGCACCTCAGTGATGTTTCTCTCTATCGAACATCCTCTGAAAAGGAATACAGAAATCAATACCTAAAATTGAATCAAGAATGGGTCAGCACGGCAGGGGCCGCGGGTTTAGAGCCTTCAGTAATTTCTCGACTTAAGAACGAATACCCGATTTGCCCTGTCCTTTACTTGCTTATTAAAAAACACATAAACTTACTTCAACTGATAATATTACATCAACGAACCCATCATCATATAAAGTTAGACCTATCATCAGTTGTATAGGCGGGCCAACGGATAGAATAACGTTAACCACGGAGCCGGAGCCCACATTAGACTCCGAGTTTTGTTTATATATCATCTAAGATAATATCTTTGTGGTTGGTTATTGAGAGGTGAAATAAAGTTATTATACCACAACTAGAAGAGTTTTTGGGTGGCCGGTCTCGATTATTCACCGCAGATTGTCGTCGTCAACTGCTCACAGGCTACCACAACTTTATCTGTCATGAGGACTCCTGTCGATACAAAACTTTGCGAACAATCTATGCTTTTAACCTTCAGCAGCTTTTACGGCCTGAGATGGCATTGTGAGTTGATAGTATTGCTGTAGAACCAAGTTTGAGGTCGTGAACTAAAACAATCCAGGCTTCATGATTTGAGAGCACAACTTATTTCAACTCGCCTAAAGTAACTAAGCTTTGGAAAAATTACTGGATGGCCAATTTTTAAAAAAAAAAGCTGCGAAGACAATAAAAGACAAAGCTCTAATCGTCGGTCAATCCCTGTTGGATGCGCCATCCATTCGACTTCATTAAACATCGTTTGAGGTGATTGAATGCATATCTGGCCCCTACAATGACTCGCGGTGGACTACTGATAAATCGAGTCAGTGCTGGTATCCTTTCAGACAAGTCCGGTAGCAATTTGCCGATCTCGAACGGGTGAACGCTTGATGAGCCTTGGGCGCGGGGAGCGATCCTGTGTGCATTGCAAGGCGCCCCCGACTGCTGGGCTACACGCCTCTTTCCAAAAACGATATAAGCAATCATTGTCATCAAAGGAAAAGTTTTTATAAAATCCATGATAACAAGATCCATCGCCATTTTTCCAGAAGCCCGAAGAACCGATATGAGCCACGTCACTTCCTGAATTTGAAGTACAAAGATATCTGCGGCCGGACGGGAAACCCTCTGCCCAATCCGATCAAGGTGAGAGGAGAGACAATACAGATGAAGCCACGTAGGAATATCGAGTATAATACAGATTATGCTTACATACTTCCATGAATCTTTGAGCAAGCGTGGAACTTGTGTGGGTGTTTTTGATGTATCGCTGCAAGCAGAGAACGCTTAACAACGAGTCGTACTTCAACCAGTGATAACCAATGGCTTCTTGCTCAACATTTGGCCTAATTCCCTGCAAGACATGCCGTTGGTCCCGCACGGATAAATCGGAAATTCTAGAAACGTCTGCTACTTCGGATTGAAAATTGACATAGTACTTCAACATTCATTCCAGAATATACCGAAGTCGAAACCGTCTGGAATTATTGATATAAAAGCAACAAATATTGATATGCGGTTCTAATCACATAAAAAACAACAAGATTTCTGGTATGTCTTATTATTCTATACATCAGCACTTGCTGGTAGCGCTTAGGATATTCTGCGGTCAGGGTATGCTTACTCTTCATTCATGAAAACTTCCACTGCAGACTTTTATGATGTTAAAAAGATGTAGTTAGTTATTTGCTGTTTACTACAGTTTTACGTGGTAGGATATTATGTGAAATACAATCAATGATGCTGAGTTATCTTCAAAACTCCGAACTGCATGTGTTTGCGTAGGGAGTCGAACACGCTATCACCTTTTCCAGGTGCTAGTGCATCCACCGCCACACCATGCGGGTCCTTCATTTTACCTGTCTCTCAGCTAGTCTTCTGTCTAGCAGAGCCATCAGCATTCATCTTTTAACGGAATTAATGTGTGGAGCACAAACTGACAATGACTTAAGCTGAGGCTGTAGTTGGAATCATAATGTTAGCTTTTTATTCGCTGCTTACTAGAATTTTTCATGGAACATTGTGATTTCAACTTCAACCTCAACTTAACTAGGTCAAATGCCAATTTGTGCTCGCCAGATTAATCTTGTTGACCAGTGATTGCTGATGGCACTGTTAGATGGAAAACTAGCCGAGAGAAAGGGGAAACGAAGGACCCGCATGGTGTGGTGATGAACGCGTTTCCCCTCGAAAAGGGTAATATCCCCGCCGTAGGCACATGCAGTTCGGAGTTCCGCAAATATTTCGGCATCGTTATCGGAGATGTACTATTTCAAAATTTAAGTAGTGTAGGAGAAAAATTCCCACTGATAGGTTGAATAATAGCTTGAAAATCCGTCCTCATTAATGTCCTATATGCAAAATTTTGGATTTAGACCTCGCTAAAAGACCTTTACTGGACGTGTACGGAACTATGCCGTTGGTGTACTGGCAAGCACATCATTTTCGTTTTAACCAAATCCTTATTCACGTTGTGGCTAGACAGCAACCTAGCGTCGATGGCCAAGGAAACCTTTCGTCTCTCCGGGGTTTGCAAATTCGTACCACTCTTGACTGAGAGCAACAACACTGATCTGATGCATCATATTTGTGTGCTGAATCATTCCTACGATGGTCAGTGGAGTCATATGCACCGCACACCCTCGCATTTCTCGAGAGGTTGATCAGCGTTGAACAACTATCATCCCGTCATTCAGAGTGGAACTTCAATGGCCCATTTTTCCTTTGTTGACAAGGGCTAAATGAACACCATGGCTTCTACACTCATTTAGCCCCTTAGTTGGGTTTGCACTGTGCTTGCACTCGGTTCCAGAACCAGAAATTGGCGTTTTAAGGCCCAGCCTCCCGCTAGAACGATTTAGAAATTCGAACGATCGTAAACTTTACCACGGCAGATCATCTCATACTCTGTCTGAGAGCTCAGATAAACGCACCGCAACATCTTTCAATACTCGTATATAATGCTGAGATATTTTGCAAAACTTTTGCCGCAGGTGTATGCGGTCCGGAGTTTTGCAAATATCTCAGCATTATATACGAGTTATATTTCGCAACATACCCTACCATTAAAAAGAAAAAAAGGCAGTAAATAAAAGGGTTAAGATCTTTCAATACTGTTTTTTCTTTATCGATCTTTATCCCTTTCTCTCTATTTTCTGTTTACTATGCTAATTCGCTTCACAACTGAAGATAACGACATATATAGGCGAAATTGCTAGCAAATAGCATTTGATATCTATTCACTTTCAGTTAGCTTCTAAAATCATCGGTCGCTTCTTTTGTTGAATATCGACCGATCTGAACACTTCCATCCTGATTTCACCATCATCATTCAATTTCACAATTGCCCCGATGTTATCGATGATCAACGTCTTCTCTTCGTTGGCTTTCATATTTTCGGTAAGTTAAGTACAGTCACTGAATACTGAGGGCATTTCAGTTATTGAGTTTCAGTTGTTGTTTTAGAAATTTTTAGGAGCTAATAAATTTTTTCAAACTGATGAATACTCCTCGAAGCTTCGGCAAAAAATCCTCCAATACGTTTAAAAACGGTTAAGAAGCCCCGTTTACTTTTATAAATTTTTTGGCCTCATCTAAAAAAGATTTAAGAAAATCAGCACACATCAAGAAAAAGTCGGACCGTTCAAACCTATAGAGCTGGTCGATTCGAATTTTCTGTGTGTATGCTTCTATCCTTTCTGTCAGAAAATTAACTAATTTATAGGAATCATAATCAGTGCGGAACAAATCTCATTTACTGCTGTTATCGTATTGCGTTTGTAGACGCGTGCAGCACAGTGGTCGGAGACTCCCTGTATTGCGCATGAGATCGATCCCTGCGCCCCTATATCCCTGCGGAGTCGGCAAATTGGTAGCAGATTTGCCTGGGATGATAGCACCACTCACTCGATAAATCGGCATGCCATCGCTGGTCATTGTGAAGGCCATATATGCATTCAATCACCTCCAACGATGCTCAATGAATTCGAATGCATGGCGCCTCCTTTAGAGATTGATCAACGCAAGAGTTTGTCCTTTTCCGTTGTATTGCGTCGTTAGTTGATTATTGAACAGATTATGGAACATGAAGTACTTCACAGGTCTGTAGGATATCGCGTAATTTCGCGGTAAACTGTAATCTTCTTGAAATAAATTTTCTAGACAGCAGTTTTAAGAACCACCAATGAATTAGGAGCTTCCATTAACGCTGTACCAATTTCCACCCATTCAATCGCTTCGCCTCTCGAAATGCGAGTGTAAACGTAAATATTGGGATGGAAAATTCAATGAAATCGAAATCTTGCCACCATTCAGTGTGAACTTATGCATTTCTGTCAAAAATCTGTAAATTTCAATCGCTTTGTGAAGGAACCACAATGGTGCTGAGGTATAAACTCTGGATTGCAGGTGTCTGCGGTGGGGAATGAACGCGCAATTACCCTTTCCGGAGGTTAACACGTTCACCACCACACCATGCTGGTCCTTCGTTTAGCCTGTCTCTCACCTAGTTCTTTTAAACGTTTTAGTTTAATAACACGAAAGGTCGACTTTCTCTAAACCTCGACATAGATAGTTGATATATTTATTTATATGGTCTTATAAACTGATCATCTTATGTTGGCGCGAGGCTGGTACAGGAGACCAACGAAGACCTGTACTAACCTCGCGTCAGTTTTAGTTCACTTACTCAGTTAGTTTAGTCTAATAGATTTTGACATGTGCTTAAATGTACTGGTTCTCCTATGAAAGGCTAGATTATTGATGACGCTGATGAATGATGAATGCATCCAGTTCTGGCGGTGTTTTCAGACTTTTGGTGCAGAGATGGACATGTCGACATGCGGAACGACGAAAGGCTGCCTGTTTGCTCCACCGGAATGTAAACCCTCAGCAGACTGCGGTATCGTTTTCACGTATAAGGTAAAACCACCTTACTTTTTTAAAATTGATATTTCATTTACTGTACATCTCTGCGTTCTCAGTTTTTTTATTGCTTTCTTCTCTTTGTTGCCAACGTTGAAGCTTTAACATGTTAATTCTCTTTCTTTTGTTTGATTTGCTTAAGAACTAATCAGTTTTGCTTACCCTTTCAAATAGCTTTCGTTTTTATCTTCCTTTCTTTTTTATCATTCCTTGTAATGTGCATAAAACTGCACGTAGCGCTGTGGTCAACGGTGCCCAGTGCTCCACATGGTCTCTGGTTCGATTCTGAGCCAAAGTTAGAAGAGTCTCCATACATCAGCGCTCGACAAATTAGTAGCACGTTTGTTAAAGAAAACGAAACCATTAATTTTATACTCCAAAAATAAAGAACTTGTGTGTTCCAAAATGAATGAGTTCTTCCAATATTATTTTATTGGTTTTCCTCAGGTCGATGGTAAATATTTGAACATAGAATTAACCGGCAAGGCTCCGTCTCCTAATGGTTTTGTTGCCGTCGGATTCTCAAAAGACGACCAGATGGTCGGTAATTTTGTTCACGGGTTGGTTGGAAATACAGGAATGAAAATCCTTGAATAAATAAACATAACATCGGTTAATGTTTTTTCGTTTATGAACTTTCTTTCCGTTTTTATGGGAATGTTTAGTCTTTATAGAATTTTATGTTGTTCGATTGTAGCATTTTGTGGATCCAGGAACCAGTTAAAAACGTTCACTTATATTTGTTACAAGACGTGATAACGTCATTAAGCTAAAACCGGGAACTTTAAGAAGTGCTAAAGTTTTTAGTGGAACTGTAACTTTCAATCTGTGGCTGGGTTAGATTGCGTTCTCACGCCTGAAGGTCGCACACCTTGTCCCACAGATCTGAACGACGTGCTCTCATATGGTCAGTTTTTTGATGATTGGTAGCAGCGACGAAGCTTGTCCTCAAAGGGCTGTTCAAAGCAAAGTGCTTTTCGGAGAGTACTGTAAATGTGTATGCAAATTGTTCCACCAAAAACATAAGAGAAGAAAACATTAAGGAATAGAAGGTATCTAAGAAAAAATTTTCGTCAATCTATGCACCCTACTCACTTGAAGTTGTTTTAAAATCTTTCATGTGACCATTCAAGACTGACTAATTGCCATTAGCTTTATAGTTCTCGAAAAAGAAGGAGACCCTTTCCAGTCATCACAAAGGAAGAAAAAGAAGGGGAATGAAGAGAATAAGAAAGGAGAGGGAAGGGAGAAGAAGAAAAGGAAGAAAAAAGAAAGAAGAAGAAGAAGAAGAAGAAGGAGAAAGAACAAGAAGGAGAACAAAAATAAGAAAAATAAAAAAAAAGCAGATGGAGGGAAAGAGAAGGATGGAAGAAAAGGATAAAGAATAAAGCACTCGGCGTTGATCAATCTTTGAGGGATGCGCAATGAATTCGACTTCGTTAAGCACCGTTGGAGGTGACCGAATGCATATCAGGCCTTTACATTAACTCGCCATAGCCTACCGATGCATCGAGCCAGTGATGTAATCCTCCCAGAAAACTCTGGCACCAATTTCCCGGCACCGGGAGATAAAAAGCTTGGTGAGTCTGGAGCGCTGGGATCGATTCCATGTGTAATGCGGGACGCCTCCGACTACTGCGCTACACACTAGAGAAATCGCCTATACCATCTGTAGCCCTGTTGACCGACGAGTGACTCGAGCAGGCACCAGTAAATCTTCCATTTTTCCCTGTCGCGTGCAAGAGTAGCCCAGTGGGTTCTGCTCGCTCTAGGAACTCGTCGAGCATCCTATCTTTCTTCTTGGCTTTTCGTGAAGAACTCTGACCATCGAGTCGGTGGTCTTCCTGCAGTGCGCTTAACATTCCGAAGAATCTAGTCATTAACGGCTCATGTCCATCGGTTGTCATTCACACACATTACATGTCCCGCCAACCTTATCGTCAACTGTTAGGCGTATAACACGGCATCTTTGATTTTTGATCGCTGACGCAGATCGGAGCTTCGGATTCCGTCCCTCACTTGGGTGAAACGGGAAACTCCTAGCAATGTCCTTTCGACTGCACGTTCGATAGCGCTGCGTGACCTTCTATCCTGGTTACGCAGCGACCAGGTTTTTGACGCATACGTTAAGGCGGGAAGTACCGTTGAGTCGAAAAGGTCTGCACGAAGTCGGGTGTTCCTTGTTCTCTTCACTACACCCTCGATGTTCTTGAAAGGTCCCCAAGTCGCTCGTTTTCTTCTACTCAGCTCTGGAGCTAGGTCGTTCATCATACTGATTTCCCCGTCTAGGCAGACATAACTGGAGCATTCGGAGATTTTCGTTCCGTTAAGCGTGAATGGGGTATACGAAACCAATCCGTTCCTCATGAACATCGTTTTTGTGAGACTCACTCGAAGACCAATCTTTCCACAGGCTTTATCAAAGTTGTCAAGTATACGTTCCGTTTGGCTAATGTTTGGTATTATAAGGATGATGTCATCAGCAAAGCGAAGACGGTGTAATTGCCGACCGTCAATTTTCACCCCCGTGTTCATCCATTCCAATGCAAGCATGACGTTCTCGAGGGTGGCGGTAAATAATTTTGCCGGGATGGTATCCCTTGCCTAACTCCTCTTTTGACGTCGACGTTAATATCAATGCGCCTTTTTTGTTCAGCAATCGGGTGCTTTTTAAACAGCATACATTTACTTCCATAGAGAAGCACAATGCAATACAATACTAGCTGACGTTTCGGCAGTATTGCCTTCTTCACAGCCTTGAAAGTTATGCTGATATACAATCTACTAGGCCAAACGCTTCAATGACACTTACAAAAAGAAGAAAAACTCTTTGGTAATTACATGATCAAGAGCTTCTCGAAAAAGTCACCGCTTTTTCCGCGACTTCCAATGAGGAAGTTTATAACAGCTGATTATAGTCGCATGTGGTTGACATCAGAAATCCATTGACACCATCCCACATTGATGCGAACATACGGGGCCAGGTCGCGTATGACCTCTGGGCATTCATTGCTGCTATTCATTGTAGGGCTTTTGGCATTTATCCAAAAAGCCTCAAAAAGTTTTCGCGCTGGTGTTTCAGACTCCTGTGCAAAGATATTGACTTTTACTTCAAAATCGTCTCCGCTATGCTTTTGTGTCCTATGCGTGCCTAGTGGGGTGCTTCGTTTTAGTTTTCGTTTGCCATCTAGGTGTTCTTTTATACGGATACACAAAGGTCTGCCGTTTCGCCAATATATTCATCTCCGTAATTATTGCAAGAAATCAGGTATATCGTACCTGAACTCATGCAATCACCGTTCCTGCCGTAGAGGCAAGTTACGCAATTTGTTGTTTCACAGAGACGGTCATACAGGCGGTTACGAACCAATAATAATAACTAATAAAACATAACTAATAATAACTAATAAAAATAGTAGAGTAGTGGCAGGAGATCGAGAACAGGGGCTTCTATCTTAGACATAAACATAGAAGATAAATACAACCACAACGTTGCTGAGATATTTGCAAAACTCTGGACCGCAGGTGTCTATGGTGGGGAACGAACGCGCTATTATCCTTTCCGGGGAGTAACGCGTTCACCACCACACCATGTGGGTCCTTTGTTTCGCTTTGTCGCTTAGTAACCTGCCATGAAAATTATAGAAGGCAGAAAACAAAACGTTAAACATTGTGATTTCAACTACCCCCATAGCTTAACTGGGTTCTATGCCGATTTGCNCTGAGATATTTGCAAAACTCTGGACCGCAGGTGTCTATGGTGGGGAACGAACGCGCTATTATCCTTTCCGGGGAGTAACGCGTTCACCACCACACCATGTGGGTCCTTTGTTTCGCTTTGTCGCTTAGTAACCTGCCATGAAAATTATAGAAGGCAGAAAACAAAACGTTAAACATTGTGATTTCAACTACCCCCATAGCTTAACTGGGTTCTATGCCGATTTGCGCTCCCCAGATCAACCCCGCTGACGGGTGATTGCTGTGGCAAAAAGATCGATAGAAATAGCTGAGAGACGTGCGAAACAAAGGACCCGCATGGTGTG